CCCTCAAATCCTGAAATTAATTTCAGGATTAGCATTAAACCTCTCCTCCCTCTCTCTTGAACCCGCCGGCCACCCTTTAATGGACTCCCATTAATTGCCCATTACACCCCTTAGCCTCATTTGAAATTTGAACCTCATTTCAATTTGGATTTCCCTCCTAATCCACTTTAAACCTGAAATTAATTTCAGGTTTTTGGATTAAAGATCTATCGCTCTTGGCCTAAACCTAATTGCTCCTTCTTGGGAATCTCGCCGCCCCTCTCTTCTCCCTCTTCCTTCCTCTCAAACCACAAGTGCTCTCCCTCACCCCTTCATATCTCCTCTCTCCTTATTGGTGTTCTTTCAACGCCGGCAAGAATACATGGCGGATCCCAAGATTGACAGCGGATTGGTGTTCGACATCTACGGCGACATCCACATCACCCGTTCACCGTTCTTCGACGTCGGATTTGGCTCCGACGACACTGTGGAAGACTATCTGAATCGCATCCTTCCTACTCTTGTGGACGTCGTAGACGATCAATTCCAATACTACGATTGGATCATCATCGGCCACCCACCACCCTCATCTCCACCGGCTACCGCTCCACCAACGAAGGTCTTCGACGCCGTCTTCCTAGTGGTAATAGCTTTCTTCGTATGATTCATCTTTCTCCGCTAAAACCTACAAGTAGTTGAGTGAGAAGGCCCTTGAGGTGAACCTCTCATTGTTAAACGTTGGATTATGTTATGTGTACTTAGCATTTATTCTTGCCTTGAAATTTGAAGGAATTGTTTGGTTAATTTCTATTGCACTTCTTTGGCCTAAGCAAGTTGATTACTTCATATTCATAATCTTCTTTTATGTGCTAGTGGTAAATTTTCATGAGCAAAGCTTTATTCAATTGTCTTTTAATTTCTAAAGGTAACTCCTAGTAGTTTCACATTAGCTACTTCCGCCTATCATTTCGGAGGAGCAACGGGCCTTTGTCCTACATCAATCTATATCAAGTCACTACATATTGGCCCAAGAGATGATCATAAGTTTATGCACTCCACCGCCACTGCAAGTATAATGGTTATCAAAATTGATATGAAGTAGGCGAATGACATCATTTGTTGATCAACCCTTAATAGATCATGGCCCTCATGGGATTCCCACAAAAATTCACCCATTGGATAACATAATGTGCCAAGCATCCCTGGTTCTCCCTCATCATCAATGGTTGTGGTCAAGATGGATTGAAGCCTGCTATGGATTCCGTCAGCGATGTCCTGTCTCCCCTTATGTTTTCATTTTATGTTATGAGCTTCTTTCCAAGGCTATGCACCAATGGGAACAACAGTTGAGTGTCTCCATAGTTGCCAATGGCAACTGAATTTTCCATTTGCTTTATGCAAATGACAAGTTACTCTTTACCAAGGCTAATATAGGGATGGCCAATAATATTAAAACCATTCAAATAATTGTTCATGGTCAGGCAAATAGATAAATAGCTAGAAATCTATTGTTTTATTTAGCATGCAACATTGAATTGGAAAAAACATCACATTGCTAAGTTTCTAGGCTTCCAAAGGGCCGATAAGCTTGATTATTTAGGAGTTTAGGTGACCATGCGGCAACTCACCATTGTTGATTTCTCCAACCTACTCCATAGACCTCAGGCTAAGGTTAAAATGTGAGGTCTATAAATCTTTTGCTAGCCAGTCGGGCTACTTTATCAATTCTTCTCTCTCGTACTTCCTACTAGGGGTTTAAACAAGTCGAGCCGAGCTCGAGTCACCTTGGCTTGAGCTTCAGCTTAATTAATTAATCAAGATAAAGCTTGAGCTTGAGCTATCCTACAAATTAGAGCCGGCTCGTTTATTATGAAAAAGTGAAAATGATTATACTTTAAGCAATCATTATAATAAAATAGTAAAAGAATAAAAAGTAAAAGAAAATAAATAATGAATAAATTAATATATGAAAATAAGTATGATTTTAAATATTTTTAACAATTTTATACTTAAAATCATAAATGCTAATATATATTAAGTGCATTTTATATTAATATTTTTTTAAATAAGCTTACTCGAGAGCTAATGAGTTGAGTCAGAGCTTGGCTTAGCTTGACTTGTTAGCTTATTGAGCTTGACTCAAGAGCCGTTTATCAATTCAAGCCCGAACCTGCTCACGAGTAAGTTTAACTCACACCCCTACTTCCTACATACCAAAGTTCCTAAGGGTGTGCTACTTTAAATTGGAAAGGCTTGTGCCCAATTTCATGGCATAAAGTCCCCACCCATAGTGGCTTGCATTATATTTCTTGGAATAATGTGTCTCCCTTTGCGCCCGAGGGCTTCGAGTTTCACTACTTTGACCACTTGGAAGGTTCTTCTTTGGGCTAGACTCACATGGGATTATATCCATACCCAAATTCACCGCTCAACAAAAATTTAAGTGCTAAATATGGTCATGATATGTGTGTTGATACCAAGAAACAGAGCTGCTCCTCTACATGGGCTGTCATTAGGTGCATTGCACACACTCTTCAATTCATTACTTATTGGAAGATTACTAATAGTAGAAAGATTAGCACCCTCTAGCTATTGTGGATCTCTGACTTGTTCGAGGTAAGGTAGCCTACACTTGTGGATGTTAATTTTCCCAAGAAATCCAAGGTGTCAGATTTCTTAAGTAGCAATGCAATGTGGAATTTGACTGCTCTCCGTGCATTCTTAGGAAAGCTCTTTGTTCACCGTATACTAGCCATCCTGGTATACCAACAGTTGCATGAAAACTCTCCCAAACTCGTCAAATCCACTGTCAATAAAACAATATTTGTCATTCCCTTTGATAGTAGGTTCTAGCGGGCATAGATCAATTGAACTAGCTTCAAAAATTGCACCTCCAACCTTGTGAACAACTATTTTGGTCATGGTTAAAGAGAACTTAACCTCATATTACAAGTAACCAAATAGGATAGTGGTTTAGGCATATAAAATAGGGGATAGAAAATGAAGTGATAAATTGAGTAAATAGAATGAATTGAGATGTACCGGGTGAAAAAAAGATGGACTAAAGGTAATATAGATAAAAAATTATGCACAAAAATTTTGACAAAATAAAAACTAAATGCTTTTTATTAACATTCAATAAAAATGAATAGAGGATTCAAAAGTATTAAATAGTTGTGACGAGAATAATGATGATGATTATGAAAAATAATGCTAGAAATACCTTCGCCGAATTAAATTAATACCACTCAAGCATTGAAAAACAAATTAATGAGGAATATTAAATTATTTAATTTAAAATATATTTTTGAAGAACTTCAAAAAAACACATAACAATCACAATTTTACATGCCTTAATTTTAGTTTGTGGTTCTTCAGGTCTTAAATTTATTCAAATAGCAAAATCATCTGAGGGTGTCAACATTCCATATCAACCCGCCCCAAAGAACTTGAGAGTGGGATAGCCACTATCAACTTTTTTTTATCCAAATTTGTTTGTGAGTGATATCAAAGCTTGACTAAAAAGAAAAGATCAAGCTCGAAAGCGAAAAACATGAGACAGAAGACAATCAAGAGAGGTAGGATTTCTCTATATTGTCAAAAAATATAAAAATGTCCTAGGGCCATCCTGTGACCCACTATTTATAAATTTAGATTGATGCACAGTGCTATAAGAAAGGTTATATTGGCATGATAATGTAAAATTACATAAGAAAGTTTAGCAAGTGTTTTTAAGAAGGGATAAGTTTAGTTGGAGCCATTTTTCTATTTAATTTTAGGTTTTTTTAAGTCTAAGGAAATCTTTTTCAACTAATTTGATAACATGGGTGAGTATTCTCAATGACTTCAAGCTCAGTACCAAAAATTAAGTTATTGTGCCAAATTCAAATGTCGAATAAGGTATGTTGAATAGCTTTGGAAATTTTAACTAGCTAGCAACATTATTATTACTTTGGCAACTTTATGTTATGGCATATTGTTCACCTCTTGACTGGCCACTTATCTTGAACTTGCTATATTTTGATCAATAAGACCGGTCTAGCCTAGCCTAGATGAATTTTAGATGCTCAATTTTAGGTGAAAATATGTCCAAAAAAAAAAACATAAGGGCTTGTGGTAGATCTCAAACACACAAAAAAGTGTGTTCTTATATTACCACATATAGCCATTAACTAATAATCACTTGAATAGACTTACAACATGGTGATGTGACAGCCTATACAGTAAACATGCTACCAGAGTTTGAATAATCATAATCAAGGTGTTACAACCCATTTAATAAATGGGCCATGGCCAGGCTTAAATCAGGTGTAATAATCAATTTAATAAATGTGATTATTTCATGTTAGAAGAAACTAAATTGGACTAATTCACATGTCACCCATATACCTAAAATGGCATCTTATAAGACACCAATAGGGTTATGATGCCAATTTAAAAAAAAAGCTTTGAAAAGGCATAAAAAAAAGGAAAAAAGAAAACAAACCAACTGTACGCTAATTTATCCTTGCAAAGTGGCCAACAGGATTCCAAGAGCCATAAGAAGGAAGTCCAAACACCCCGGACATCAGAGCATTGAGAATTCAAGAAATTACATGAAAGCTAGTCCTTAGGTCGTATCCAAATAAATCAGCAATTACAACACCAAATGCCCATATTCAATAACAAATATGCATTCTGATAGCATTTTTCAATCCAAATGCAACTGCAAATGGAACAAAAGGTCCATCCCAAAGGCCAGCAATGATGAGTAAATGCCGCTAGAAAGGACAACGCGGAGCCCCTAATCAAAGAAGAGACGATATTTATCTTTGGATAAAACTAGAAGATAGCCAACTACTCGCTTGAATAACATCTCAGGCCATTCTAGGAACCAAATATGGCGCCAAAACATAATGGATTCAAGAAGACATGAATAAAGAAATCAGGGCTAATGCAACAACAGAGAAAACGAAGCGATTTGAGATTACTAGAATTTATCGAACATCAATAAAGAAATAAAGAAAGTGTGAGGAGCTTACCAGGCCTCGATGATTATAGTTCTGGTTAAATGGTTTGAGGCAGATGGCAATGACACCAGCGACCCGTCATACTCAACCACGTCTTCCTTCACCTGCTTCACAACTTTCTTGCGCTTCTTGGGCTCCGGCGAACCCACCTCATCGCTTCTTTTTTCCTTGTCGTTGGCAGCCCTACCCCGTTTTCTAGCGGGCGAAGGGGCTTCGACCACCTTCCCTTCCTCCGGCTTGCCCTTGCCATCAGCTGGTTTCGCGTTCTTGGATGAGGCCGCCCTCCGGCGAGGCGACTGAAGCTCACCATCGTCCTTAACAACATCGGCGACTTTGGACTTCTTGGCAGCGGATGCCCCTTTACCGGCCTTCGGCGAAGTGGCCTGCTTCGCCGACGCAGGTCTCGTGGACGACCGGCGCGTGACCGGCGCTTCTTTCTTGGGAGCCATGACGGCAGTTTCTCGCTCGCTCGCTCGCTATCGGGATTCTATGCGGAACGAAGCGTCCTTACTAAGCTAAGAGACGCGCGGGGTTATTAAGGGGGGGATGTGTGATAGGTCGTTGAATCGCAGTGATAATCGTGAAGTTACAGTCCATTCCCGCCAAAGTCACGAGGACACGGTTGAGCAATGGGCTTTTGGGTGAGGATGCGCAATTTTTGTTCTTATTTTTTTAGGGCTTTTAAAAAGCTACTTCTAATGAAAAAATTATTCTATGCGAACAACGAACATCATTTGGAGACCAATAAAAATATATGATGTCAGGGGCGGAATCAACTATAATTTTCAATGGGAGCAAACTTATAAGTAATTGTTGACAGATATATCGAGGGTCCAAGGGAGTAGCGCCCCTTAGCAGGGGTTTTCGGGGGTAGCGCCCTCGGAATAAATTTTGATTTACAATTTCTCTTTGTGTATGATTCATCATTTTCTGACAATAACACTTCTACATAATATGTTTAATTATACAGGGGACAATTGCCTAAGGACCATAATATTTTAAAACTTTTAGGGGGGGGAATTGCCTTAAAACCTTTATAATAAAGACTAAAACATAGATTTAGAGTCAAATCATCTAAAGAATCTAATAATCAATAAAAAAAATTTTTTGAGGGTGGGCAAAATCCCCCCGGACACAATGGGGTTCCGCCCCTGCATCATGTCATTTTTTTACTGTACCGTCGCTCGGTACCACTCGGTAACGTGGCATCCGGACATAGAGCTGCATCCGACGTCTACATAGAATAATTTCTTAAAGCGCCCAGAGAATAAACCTTAAAATAAGTTAATTTACAAAATTCAGGCTGGTTGTACCATACAATTCATATTTCTTACAGTACAATTAGTTCAAATAATAAAAACTATAAAAGTCCTTTAATGTTTAATTGTATAGCACAACTCATGTTGTTCTATATGATTGGTTATGATAGAGATGCATTAATTTCTTCTTATTTTTGTGATTTAATTAGAATATTTTAGGAAGGTGATCATATGATATAATATGCATCATATAGTATGACTATTTTAAATCTTGAATTAATCTAATTAAGAAAATAATCTTATAATGATTATTTGTTTTGAAATTAGACAACATCATATAGTACTATAAAACTCTCAAAATTATTTTTGTTGCTCACCCTCGTATGTTATGCTTCTTTCCTAATGATGCAAAACTCTTATTTATATTAAAAATTTACATAATTTTTACCTTTCTTCTTTTCTCTCTTTTTTTTCATTGTTCTTCCTCTTCTCTCTTTTAGAAATGATTTGATTTTTCACCTCAATAGTGCCACATCATCATCATCAACATCAAAAGTTTCCATCTATTGTCCTCTAGTTCTACTCCATTTAGGTAAATAGAATTTTAGTCTGATATATTTGCAATTATTTGATTGATTTTCTGTTGATGTACCATCAGTGATCCAAATAAAAAGTCAAAAGAATAAATATAAAAATTTTGATTTGAATTTAGAAATAGTAACTTTGGCATTCTAAGATTTTGATAGACATCTAAGAATCATAATTATCAACTGAACATGACTATATACCCAAAGCATACAATGAAGTAAGGATTTTAATAAATCTAATATATATGCCAAAGATGTTTTTGTTAGGATGCATACAAAATAGTTCATAATCATGCATGAGCAAATTGATACTTACTGATTTACTTTCATCATCCTTTTATATGTAATACATAATCTATCACAAATCTCCTTGCTCGTTTTGTAAGTGAACATGCACATATAGTCCTCATATTTAAGGGCAAAAAAAATAATAATAATGTTAGTATTCCATATTTAGTGGTGCTAATTCTCTCACCTCATAACCCCACCCATCAAAAGGAGAAATTATTATGTGCGGTGTCCGAACGTAGCTTTGCATCCGACCATCAATTAAATGCTCACACTTTGATTTCTAATATTTTTTTTTTCTTTGTGAATTGACGACCGGACCTGCTCCAAACACTTATTTTTAACTTTTTTTTAGAAAGAAGCCTACAAAAGCTTCCAAAAGAGTCCAAATATTTAGGATTTTGGCAGAATATTACTTTTGATACGTGTTGAGAAAAAAAAAATGTTATGAGATGAAGACAAAAATTGGTTTGAATGAGTTGCTTTCTCCGAGGAAACGAAAGGTGGTATGCAAAATGTCTAGGAAGACTCGAAGATAACAAAACTACAACCAACTAATGGAGATAATAAATTGGGGTTATTATTGGTAAATTGTAAACTCCTTTTAAAGTTTACTATGTTTCTTGTAAATGTATAGTTTTTTAGGGTTCAAGTGTATTATTCATAGTACATAGCATGTGCATGACTATGTATAAAGGAAATTATGTTGAAAATATGATTTTTTTTTTTTTCATAATACATAATTGTGTATTGTTATGTACAATCTTAGATACAACAATCTCAATAATGTATGTGTTTTTATTCATTTTTAAGCTTATTGAGCTTGTACACAGCTATGTGTAAGGAAAATTATGTTGGAAATGTGCTTATTTTTCATAATACACAGTTGTGTATTGTTGTGCACAAATTTTGTATTGGCGATCTCAATCATTTGTATATTATATTTGTTTATTTGAAAGATTTTTAAGCTTGTAAATAGTTGTGTATTAGAAAATTTATGTTAAAAATATGTTTATCTTCCTAATACACAGCTGTGTATTTTGTGTATAAGCTTTGTATTAGCAATCTCAATCGTTTTTTGTCTTGTATTTGTTGAAAGCTTTTGAGCTTGTGGACAACTGCATATTAGGAAATTTAGTTTAGAAATGTGTTAATCTTTCTAATACACATATGTGTATTGTTGTATACAAGCTTAGATATATACGACATGTCAATTACTTATTTGGTGTTTGTGTTCATTTTAAAGCATTTTGAGCTTGTACACAACTGTGTATAATATTTTTTTCTCTTCTACACAGAGTGTGCATAATTTTTAGAAAGAATCATATGACATGTACTACAATTATGCTAATAATATTGGTTTTAGTGCTCACAAGAAATATCACAATTAAAGGCCAAATTTTAGAAAAATAAAATATGAGGACTTTATATGTTCAAAATCTGGTTTCAAGAAGGGTCTTGATTTAAATTCTCAATCAAATTTGTAAAAATCAAATATCATAATGGGGTGTCAAGCTATGATTAGATTTACAATTGATGAAGATAGAAATTAAAAATGTGCAGCTAGAAGACCAATATCCACTTAGATCATATATGAATATTAGTGATGAAAAAACATCAATTCTTAAATTAACGACAGAAACATGGATAAGAATCATTGATGCATCTTTCTATCTTATCCATGAAGTTGGAAGTGTTGAAAATATTGGATTCTCTAAGAGGAAAGCATACAACTCCATTCAAAAAGAGAAAAGAGCAAAGATTAACTATGGAGACACTAATTCATTAATTCAGTTATGTAAAGATAAACATGTTTTGATAGATTATGACTGTTATTATGGGACATACAAATTAATGAATTTGATATATTATACTCTTCTTTTTTTTTTTTTGATGAAATGGGGAGAATAGATTATGACTGCTTTAGAGATGTGACACTTTTTATCCTAGCTATAAGCTTAATAATTATAATTTATTTGGTGCACCATTTGTCAAAATTAATTATTATTGGCAGAATATTCTTCTTGGGTAACTTTTTTGTCAAAGAAAATAATTGAATCATTTACTTGGATATTTAGAATATTTATACGAATAATGGGCGATAAATTTCCAGTGATAAGTTTTTTTTCTAATTGGGACCAAATAATGGCTAGGATCATAGAAGTTGCATTAGATGGTTCCATCAAAAATTTGGTGCTTCAATAGCAACAAAAAAAGTCAGAGAACACTTGTATAAGTGTGTGAGCAAGTGTGAGTCTGTGACTCTAAGGAAGAGTTCGAGAAAACATGGGCTTAAATGATCACAAACGGGAGCATTCATAACAATGGTTGGTTTTAGGAGCTTTATAGATAAGAAATAATTAGTTAACAACATTCAATAAGGATTGTTTTAGCATGGTTATTCTTTCCACACAACGTAGCGAGTTTACTAATAATGTATGTCATGTTATTTTGAAGCCCACAAGTTCTATAACTTATTATTTTTTGGGCCTATAGAGGTTGATGATCATATGGCACCGGAATAAATAGGATGAAGATTACAAATGCAATCATTCCACAAAAGTACCAGATATAAAAAGAGGCTCAATACTAAAGCAAGCGGATCAATTTTATACAAAAATAATAATAATTCATTTTTAAGAAGAATTTTTATAGGATATGGGTGAAATGAGCATAGACTATGCATCTAGTGATTCATCAAAGTTTTTCATCAAGATCGTTGAGAATAAGGATCAGCCGATCCCTTGCATATATTTATTTTGATGCAAAATATGGTAGTATAAAATACAATGTGGGAAGTTTGAGATAATGGGCTTATTATGTTCTCACTGCATGAGAGTTGTAAGACAGCTAGATATTGTAAAGATCCCTGAGAAATATCTATTATTGTGATGGTCAGCAAGAGCTAGGAAAGATATATATGCTGATTTTGGAAAGGTAAGACATGGAATCTAAGTGAATTGAAAATGCTCTCTCAAGCAAGAAGAAACCCCTCTCTTCCCAAAGGACTCTCACTCAGGAAAAAATGATTGGTTACTCATTTGACTCTCACACCAATGTTGTGAAAAGAATCAAATAGGGATATTCAAATCAAATCCAAATTCTCAATTTTAATATATTGTTTGTACAATATAAGTGTGTATCATACTATCTGATTTGTTAAACACTCATTTTGAGTTATGTTAGATTGGACGCTACATTATGATTTGCATAATATGATATGTTGAATCAAATCAAGGATCATTCATGATGAGCCATGATTCGTCCACCGAATGTTATGTTAGATCATACTATATGATTTGAATCTTATAATATGTTCTTCTATCAAGATTTGATGCTAATTTGATTGTCTGATCAACAATCTAAATTAGGCAATATCTATTAATAATCGTATAGTACGACTATATTCATATATTATGATTAGGTCAATTTTTAAAATTCAAATTTACCTAAATTTTGATACTCAA